GACGGCCATGCTTTGGCTCCGTCTGCACGGCCACATCGAAGTAAAGCCTGTCAAGACTGCCTTTACATGAAGGTGTGACGTGCAGCCTCCTCCGGTGCCATCTGAAAGGCAACCGTCCGGCAGGTCTCTGTCCCACGACAGAAGAATGTACTGGGCGTGTTACTCGTTGACCCATGACTCAGCAAATGACCTGCGCTCAGCCGACTACCGCAGTTGATTTGAATGATGATTTATCGATCGGTTGGTGTCTATCGATCCACCCTAGTACGCACCACCGCCCTGAGCGCTGGCAGGCTTCGGCATGACACGAAAATGCAACACCAATGCTTAGCCTTCCTTCTAGGCGATATAGTAGACAGAAGCGAATAAATTCTGCTTGTAAAAGCTTTGATTATTAAGTGTAGAATCGAAATAGAAGGTATAGCAAGGTTGTTCGCATTGAGACAATGCTTTTTAGGGATTACTTTCGTAAATTCCCCTTCCTACAGGGCTTTGTGAGTGCTGAGAAAAACAAGCTTTCGAACTTCGCAATTTATAAATTATTTAACTGTCTATAGCACCATCTGTGTGATGGAAGAGTGATTTGCTGAAAGATTGAGACACAAAATAGGCGGCTAGCGGTCCTCAGTTAGGAAGACCTGAGGTCTGATTTTTTGTTATCGGTACTCTATTTTACTCCGTGTTAGCAATTGGTATATTTAGTGGAATATTTTCTGTGGGTTGTACAATTCAGTCGCTCGAGGGACTTGATTTGGATGTCAGCAGGTAAACTCTTCGAAGTGGCACAAAATACGAAATTCGGATGACATAACAGTCAGCTTAAAAAGGAACTCTCTAAAACCAATCAACGCTCCTCCTAGTTTACTGCTGTTAGATGTAATATGCCACTGTTAAGAGTGCTAATTATAGTAATAATACTTACTAAGACCAGCGGATTCTGTATTCTAGTACTATATTCCTATAACTGTATCAAAAGCTGACATGCATCCTATTTTTGTAACAAGCCTAAGGGATGGGAATATGAGCTTACCCGCGTTCCTAACTTCATCTGGACTGATTTGTAAGACACACGGGCGAGCGTTCACGTCCGGCAGGGAGATAAGACTGCTCAATAAATGTCTGGATAATCACCTGTTAAAGCTCAACATGAACTCAAAAATACCCATCTAATGGGCTAATCAGATGAGTATAAACATACTTCTACCTTGGTTCAAATATAATGTTTTCTTTTAATTAATTTTCACCTAAATGAAAAATTAAGTGTGGACGGAGTAACCATGTTTAACATTTATTTTTTATCGTCAGTGTTATGCACTCTGCACAATAAAATTATCTGCAGCATATTTTGCAACTTAACTAGTTTTCATGCATGCCTGCGTCATTTAAATTGAGTTTGTAGGTTGTGACCGGGTGATGTAGGATGGGTACAATGACACAAAGCCATGAGAACTAGGTGTATAGGAGTTAAGGCTAAGAAGGGTAACCCTAACAGTTACGATCTTCCAGGCCCGGTTCCTTAGGAGATGGAGAAGTCTTGGGAAGGCCAGAGTAGTCGGAGCAATATATTGTTTACAGAAGAGTTAGGAGAAAGTTGTCATAGAAAGTTGTCCGCGAACGCGCCGCGCTAAGACGAAATCCCAACCGCCCTCTTAGTGTAGAAATTGACTGGGGACCGAAAAGCTTTTCAGGAAGCTGATTGGTCTAGAGCGCTTCGGGACGCTGGTTGGAATGCGCTGGCTGGGCGCAATGTGGGCGCGCGCGAGAAAGGTTGTGTTCGTAAGTCGCGGGGCCGGTCGTCAGCGTAACCGCAGAGTTGGCGTGATGAGTCAACAGTGGCGCTAAGGTCCACTGCAGGGGCGTGTTGCTGCCCTTATTCTCTTCTGGCTGTGGGAACTTATACCCAATTGTAGGCTGTGACCATAAGTGTATGATTAGTGTAGTGGCACTCATTGATGAACGTTCGCTAAGACAACTCAGACGTTCCGCTCTGTCTTGCTGCTAACTCTCAAGGCCCGCCAGCAGCCGCATAGTGGCTAGTAGTTTAAGCAAATAGCATTGCCGACAAAGACAAGGGAGACTGGAATGGCCCTTTCTGGCTCCCTAGCCACGATGGTCCAACTGTGCAATAGAGTTAAAATATTGTTCTGTAGTGACCTTATCGCAGGGGTTTAAGTAAGTCAAACCCTAGCAACTGCGATCTTCAGACCATGGTTACTTAGTGGAGCAGAA